TGGTTTTCAAAGTTATTTGAATTTCATACTTTTCAAGTGCATCCGTAACTAAAAGTTTATCATCTAATGGGCGTTTTCCTTTCCTTTTTTTCTTTCCTTTTTTTCCTTTTTTTAGCATGCACCCGAATTTTGTATTACTTTTCAGTAATGATAGAGTGATGAATAAACCGCTTATAAAAAAAAGGGATTGGATAAAAGAAACATTCTTGAATCACAAGTGCCTTTTAACGGTACAAAGTATCCAGAGCAAAAAGCTTTCTGAAAATCCCCAAATGTCAATACTACATTTTACAGTAATTGCGTGTTTTGGCAAGTACCACTTGATTTCTCGTCGGCCGCTTCAGATTTTTCTAATTTATTCAGTCAATCATGAGCGACCTCACAGCAGTCGTTTACATTTAGCGTAAATAAGGCAGTAACAATATCAGATTTACATTCTATGAGAAATGATTTTATCGATTAAACTTCAATAATGGACTTATTGTCAGTGTCGTTAGCGTCACTTATCCAAAAGTGTTAATTTCTCTTCTATCGTTGCCACAGGTACAGTGCCGAACTTGAAGTGAAAGTATGATAACTCTAGAATAACTTTCTGTTGATTTTAGTTAGTGTTTTTGGTTCATCTGTATTTCTGCTCTACAGTGGTTGGATATCATCTCAACTGCATCTTGATTCATAATATAAATACAGACAACAGAAGAAAAGGAGAATTTAAATAAGCAAGCAAACACCTGTGATTGAGTTCGATTCTGTTCCGTCAAAAGAGTAGCATTTTTTCAAACGGCTTTGAAAATTTTCACCTTTAGATGCTTCTATCTGAATATGCGATCGAGAAAAATACTCACCTTGCATTGTTTCATGTGTAGTCGTGCTAGTGCAGCCAATTTTTAAGTTGCTGAGTAGGAGGCGGTTTGCTGTGTTGAAATTTGATCACCTAAATTTTCTCATTTCATATTATATTAGATAAATTCCAACCCAAGTCGATCACCGTGGTCGAAATGTCTGTGCCAACAACAACACAGATCACCAGTTTACTGGATAAAATGACATCAAACGATAAAGATTTTCGCTTTATGGCAACAAATGATTTGATGACAGATTTACAAAAAGAATCAATTAAGTTAGATGATGATAGTGAACGACGTATTGTCAAAGGTGTATTAAAATTACTAGAAGATCATAACGGTGAAGTACAAAATCAAGCTGTTAAATGTTTGGGACCATTAGTTTGTAAAGTAAAAGAGAATCAAATCGAAGTTGTTATCGACACATTATGTACAAATATTTTTAGTAATAATGAACAATTACGAGACATATCGAGTATTGGTTTGAAAACTGTTATTAATTCACTAGCTCTTTTACATACATCAACAATGGCAATTAATATTAGTAGAAAAATAATGAGTCGTTTAATTAGCTTTATTCAACGTGACGAACAGCTACAGGGTGATTCATATAATAATGCCACATCACATTCATCATCTTATTCTAAAACAAGCCAACAAACATCGAAAGGTGGTAGTGAAGTATCAGGAAGCAATACATTGATTATGATTGGAAATGGTGGGCAAAATCAATTAGAAATTTTAGATATAATTAGTGATATGTTAGCAAGATTTGGTTCGAATCTATCATCCTTTCATCTACAACTAAAACAAATTTTACTTAATCATTTGAATTCATCGCGTTCAGCTGTTCGAAAACGTGTTACAAATTCGTTAAGGTACATAAAATTTGGAGACTCAGGATTTAGCTTCTGAAAAACACTGGAAGCTATTGTTACTTAGGTAAATATAACGCTATAAACTCGAGTTAGCGAGTTATTTGGTACTTTGAATTTACATTGAATATAAGGCTTGGAGTGGAATAAAAGATGTTTCTGTTCAATGTGATGGTCAGCAGCGAAAAAAACTAGAATTTTTTTGTTTAGTTATTTGCTATCGTCGTGCAATATTCAATTGTTCAATGAAGTTTTAACAATAATATTAGAAGAATTAAAACGTAAACCATCGCTAGCCAAAAAAACATCGTCTTCTTCAACAGTAAACAACAACATGACAAAAACCTATATTCAAGCACTAACGTCAATATGTCGTTTAGCATCACAACGTTTAAGTGACCATATGCGTGATGTTATTGAAATAACTATATATTACATCGATAATGGGTCAAATTCTCAACAACAACACGATGATGAATTGATCGAATTTTCTTTACAAGCCATTGAAACATATTTAAAACGTTGTCCAAAAGAAACAAATGAATATGTAGCAAAATTAATTAATTTATGTTTACGATATATTAAATACGATCCAAATTGGAATGATCAAGAAGATGAAGATGAAGGTAAATTTTTAGATATATATATATATTTATATATATTAAACCAGTGAGAAGGAATAAAAAAGAATAAGGTGTTTCATGAAAAGGAGGGATAGTTCTTATATTAAAGAATGAAATCTCTTTTTAGATAGTGGAAATGAAGACGAAGGAAACGATAGTGAACAAGATGATAAAGGTCAAGACGATTACTCGGACGATGATGATGTATCATGGAAAGTTCGACGAGCAGCGACAAAATGTTTGGAAGCTGTTATTATTACACATCATGAAATGTTAAATGCCTATTATAAACAAATCGTACCAGTATTAATTGAACGTTTCAATGAGCGAGAAGATACAGTTAAAGGCGATATATTTCATTGTTTCAATACAATATTACAACAAACAAAAGCCTATTATTCACATTCAGTAGCCAATGAACAACTATCGATGGATACCACAGACGATAGTATGGAAACTGATATTGTTGTTGATAAAGATCGAAATCCAATTGTACAATTAAAATACTATATACCAGCAATTGTTAAATCGTTATCAAAAATCTTAAAACATAAAAATACAAAAAATCGTGAAAATGCCTTTATTGTTCTAACAAATCTTGTTCATGTACAACATAATTTATTAAATGAATACATTGATGTTATTTTACCAAATGCATTATATTCTCTTTCAACGGGTACTATTACAAACGGCAAAAAATCAACAAAGTCAGATCTAACCAATACAACACTAGCAAAAACAGCCATTCATTCAAATTTAAAAATCACAGCCTTGTCATTTTTATATTCACTATTACAATCTCACGATGATACAACAAAATTTCATAAACACATTAAAACTATGTTACCATTAATTATTGTATATGCTAATGATACATTTTATAAAATAGCTTCAGAAGCTTTGCTCGTATTACAACAATTAATTAAAATAATAAGACCAAATGAATCATTGATTAATCAGGATTTTAAACAGTACGTCAATGAAATATATCATTGTACACAAAAACGATTGAAACAAACAGATATTGATCAAGAAGTTAAAGAACGAGCAATTATATGTTTTGCTCATGTTATTGCCTATTTAGGTAAAATGTTTTTCTTATATAGTAAATTCAGCGAAATTAATCGCTTTGATAATCGTATTTTCTTCTTTTAGGCGATTTACTTCCTGTCGATTTACTCAATGCATGTTGGCCTGTACTTGAAGAACGTTTAAAAAATGAAATAACACGTTTACCGACTGTTCGTGCATTAACAAAAATCATTGAATCATCATTACATCTTGATTTACAGCCAATTCTTCTCCAAACAATTCCAATATTATCATCTTATCTAAGACAAAATCATCGTACTCTAAAAATGAGCACGTTAACATGTTTGACATCAGTTGTAAATTATTATTATTCTACAAAATATTTAACAAATGAATTACTACGTACGATTATCGTTGAAATTCCAAATTTAGTAACAGAAAATGATCTATTAATATCACAGTTAGCATTGAAATTAATAACCGTTATCTGTATTAAACAACAAACAATCGATAAACAAACAATTCAATTAACTCTAACTCAAGTTTTAACGTTAATACAATCACCATTATTACAAGGAACAGTATTAGATTCGGTTATTGAATTCAGTCAAGCATTAGTACCAAAAACGATACCCTATAAAGATTTTGTTAACATGTTCATTAAACCGATCTATCAGCCTATTAATACAGGTAGCGCTCAATCATCAGCATCAACAATCACTATGTTTGGACATGAGTCACAACAAAATTCTCTAGTTGTACATAAACAAGCATTTTATTCAATAGCAAAATGTTTTGCTGCTGTTACGGTGAAAAATCTCAATGATGGACAATATTTTATTAATAAATTTCAAGATGATTTAAATAATCAAAAAACTAGTGATTCGATTAAAATTTTAGCATTATTATGTCTGGGAGAAACTGGTAAGTAATAAGAAACGAAAGTACTGGAATCGATCTAATTAATATTTGTTTCAAAAATGTTTCAAGTAATAATGTTGTTATGGTTTTAGGTAAATACACTGATTTGGCCCAATCATCAATAAATTTACAACAAATTATTTTGGACACATTTTCATCATCATCAGAAGAATTACGTAATGCTGCTTCATACGCACTAGGTTATATTGGTATCCGTAGTTTAGATAAACATATCCCGTTTATATTAAATGAAATAACGGCAAATCAATCGAAGAAACAATATTTATTATTACATTCACTAAAAGAAATCATCACTTATCATAGTCACACTCAGAATGATAATTATAAATTGTTACGTCCATATATTAATGATATTTGGTCAGCATTATTTGCTCACTGTGAATGTTCTGAAGAGGGTACACGAAATGTTGTTGCCGAATGTTTGGGTAAATTGACGTTATTGGAACCAGAAAAATTATTGCCAATATTACGTGAAAGTTTTTTAAAAAATCAAGCTGAAGATAAAGTACATATACGTAGTACAATATTGACAGCAGTCAAATTTACAATATTAGATCAACCACAACATATTGACAATATTTTGCGTTTATATATCAAAGACTTTTTAAATGCATTAGAAGATTCAAATATTCATATTAAACGTGTAGCATTGGTGTTGTTTAATTCAGGTATGAAACAAATTTTTATATACTTGTTTAACCGTAGTCTTGTTTATTCATATTTCTCAAAGTACTGGCTATTGAGAACTTGAGGATTCTTTCAGAATATTAGTACGATAGTCTTATAGATGAAAATAATTTTTAATAAGAAAGAAGTTCAGAATTAAGTAGGATTCTACTCGTAAGCGTGATATAATCGAGATTATGATTTAAGATCTTGTATGACAACAATTGAAGGACTCACTTACATATTTGCTTTGAAGTTCAGCGTTTTTTTATTAAATTAAATTCATGACTATAACCTTAGTTAAAATTCACTTTCTAATATCCTATGTGATTATTTTATATATATGGAGAGAAAAGCTTGACTGATCTCATTTTTAATAAAATCTTTTTATTCGGTTTTTAGCTGCTCATAACAAACCCGTATTAATTCGTGATTTATTGGAAGATTTTTTGTTAGAAAAATTATATAACGAAACAAAAGTTCGTCCAGAATTAATTCGTGAAGTTGAAATGGGTCCATTTAAACATACCGTAGATGATGGTTTAGATTTACGTAAAGCCGCTTACGAATGTATGTACACATTGTTAGATACATGTCTAGATAAATTAGATATATTTGAATATTTAAATTATGTTGAAAATGGTTTGAATGACCATTACGACGTTCGAATGTTGACATTTTTGATGGTCATTCGTATTAGTATTTTGATGCCAAATATTGTTCTTCAACGTCTGGAACGTTTGATTGCACCTTTGAAAAAAATTATTGATACGAAAATCAAAGCCAATAGTGTTAAACAAGAATGTGAAAAGAATGATGAATTAAAACGTGCAGCTATCAAATCATTTTTGGCATTACAACAAATAAAAGATGCCGATAAATCAACGGCTGTTATGAGTTTTTTAAATTTTATTAAAGGGTCATCAGAATATAATCAAATGTATGAATATGTACAACATGAACAACAGCAACAACAAACAATTATAAACACGAGTAATAATACGGCGGAAATGATGGATCTATCTTAAAGATGGATTGTACAGTGATGATTAAGAACAAATATTCACAAATACTGTGCACACCATGACTTTGTTTGTTGTTGTCCTTTGTATTTTTTAGTTGCTTGTGAGTTTGGAGTCACTTAAATATGTCAACTAACATTTTTTGAAGAGATAAGAACAAAAGTGTATAAGTCGTTGACCAGAAGTCTGGATTTTATGTATTGTGCGTGTGTGTGTGTGTGTTTTCTTTTTCCCTCCTGGTTTCTTCTATTCACTTTTTTGTTAAGAAAACAAATAAACCAGATAAATTATGTATTTCACAAAGCGAGAAACATAATTTAAGTATATACATGCCAATGGTTATATGTTACCTGTTTACTTATAAACTGTCAAAACTTAGTGTCACACAAAAATGGCGATCAGTTTTGTCTCAACTAACATCGAATATATCTTACACCAGAAGAGCGTACCAGCGTTAGTTTCAGAAATGGAATTTTTATGAATGAATACTATGGATGGCGCAATTAATCTAGAGTGAAATGTATTGATACTGGTATTTTTAAAGAAAAATTAAAATTGTATACCATACAAAAACTCACACGAAGAGGTTATTTCTAAACTTTAACGATTCTAGATGAATTTTTTAAAGATGAATATTTTTAGTAGAGAACTACTAACGGTAAACATCTTGTAAAACATTCCTAAAGCAAATTAATGACGCTTTGAGACATTTTGTCGTATTATTCTTGCAGCATCCTCAGTTAAAATGGGCGTTTCACAATGTAAAGAAGGAAACTACTTTGGTTTAATATTGTTCCACAAGATGTTCACTCCTATTAGTTTTTATGACTTTATCTATATTAGTCACACAGTCATAGATAGTAAACTAAAAAGTTTGTTTGAAGTATGATTGTAAGCGTGCCAACTGTATAGTCGAATACTTAGTAATAATATTATAATAATACTATTACTTTGTTCTTTCAACATCTGATGTCTCGTCATACTTAACACATGTATTTTGATTACATATATCTCTTACAAATGATTAACACTTTTTATTCTGGACTATCATAGAATAATACCATTTTTAACATAAAGACATCGAGCTTTTCTTTGTGTACAAAAATGATCAAGATTTGAGTGAACAATCGAGTATAAAAATCGCATTGTTTAACATACTGATATTACATAAGTACATTTTATTATCTTTCAAATGAACAGTAAAAACAGAACATGTACATATTATCGCCCAAAAAGAACTACAATATGTACATTTCGAAATAAATTATTACCGTAGCAAGTATATTTCTATTTTCATCGAATTTCCATTCAAAATTGAATTGATTGATATTATATTCTAAAACAATAATAGAAGTCTTTGACTACGGCCTTTCGGTCTCTGAAGCTTTTGAGAGCATTTGAAGTGACTAAAAGCCGTTGCATATAGTAGTCTATTATTTTTTATTGCGTAAGGCCAGGAAAACGGAAGAAAGAAAGGTAAGCGATGCATGACGAAAAAATACAGTTGAATCATGCCAAACACATTATGATACGGCCTTTGTTGTTTAATATTAGGTAGGTTTTTGTCAAGTTTGATTGCACCTTTGTTTCGTTCTTCCTTTTTGAACCGGAGATACATGTACGTTCCTGAACAGAAACTGTATTGAAGTCGACCGCACAAAATCTTCGTTTATATTGTATTGAACTACAAACAATTATCATTGGTACAATTTGCCATTCGAATTTGATCTGTGTAAAAGACGGCAAGTAATAGTTAAAACAGTCGTCAACAGATTAGAGTGAATATGATATTTATTACAGAAGAAATGGTAGTATGAATGGGTCGAGCGGTATCAAAACTTTCTCGCACATTAGGTTTATCGGGACCCAATGCACCATTTAGTGGACTAAATATATTCGGCGGTGCAGATGCTCAGCCAGAGGAACCTCCCGTTCATCAATGGGATACAACAATCGATCAATTGTTTGGTGATGTTCCCGTTATCCCACCACCAAGTGGATCAGCTGATGATTTTGATTTAGCTGGCTTAGAAGATGAGAATGTATTAAATAATCGTGGTTTAAGACGACAACCACAAAGGGGGCCACAACAGCCACGAAGGAGAAAAAGACGGAAACAGCGACCACTTCAGTCAAACATATCGCCGAATATTCCAAGACGATTAGCGGGTCCACCTCAACGACGTAAAAGACGACATGGCCAAAGTGCACGAGCACAACCTGGTTCATTCAACATTGAAAAAAGACAGATTTATTTGCCGGGAATGAATAATAACAGAGTCGTAATGCCGAGAATCGCAGCTGCATCAGCAACTAATAATAATAGTTTCAGAAGACGTCGGCCATTACGTCGCTCATTACGTTCTATCGACAGACGAGGTATTATGCGTCCATCACCAAGGAGCGCTGTGATCCCTCAACGTCTCGGCGATCTCCTTCGATGTCCAGTTTGTTTGAATGAATATGTCGATCCACACTTGTTACCCTGTGGTCATACATACTGTTATTCTTGTCTCAATCAATTGATTCAAAACAATAATATTCTTATCTGTCCTGAGTGTCGCAAAGAACATATTGTTCCACCAGAAGGATTTCCATCTAATTTTCTCGTACGAAATTTAATCGAGGAAAATTTGCATTCAACCAGCGCTAAATGTACAGAATGTGAAACATTCACAGTTTTAAGACCTTGTCGACATTGTGGTTTTATGTTATGCGATAGATGTTATCAACGTCATAAAGATCCTAAACTAGCACATAGAAAATGTAAGTATGATTTCGAGAAGTTACAGTTGTTCAGATTCAAAAACGTGCTCTCTCATTTTATTGTAGGGAATGGTGGTATTTCACAATCATCCATCACCGATCCATTTCCAAAACGTGTAGCTCTAACTCAATTAAATCGACGATTATTAAGGTAACCTCTGACTTATATTGAGAATTACGCTCAAAGTTCTATTTTATTTGTTTTTTATTTAGTATGAAAGATGAGAAGACTATTCGTCTTTTTGTTGCTGTTCGTAAATTACTACCTGGTGCTTCACAAGTCAAACGATTAACAGTTGACATACCAATAACAAATTTTTTAGAAGAACCATCTATAAATCTTGTTCAGATTATTGCAAAACGAGAAGGACTTGGAAAATTAGATCAACTCATCTTGGAATATGGTGACAAACGAATTCATTTCAATCGAACATTAAATTCTTATGGTATTGAAGATGGTGGTCTCTTATACTTGTACAATCCCGATGATCGACTCAGTTATTTGTATGAAAATGGCGATGAAGCGAGAGTTGTACCACAAGACAGAAGAAAAAGAAGTACCATGAATATTACAAGAAATAATGTTGAATTATTATCTCATCATTCATTAAATGATGATAATTATCAGACTAGTAAAACGAGTACCATTAATAGCAATAGTAACATGTCTGACAGGGAACATCTTTATAATAGAACAACACATGTACACTCTCCACCTACTCTGGCCACATCGAGGACATCGTTACCCACTTACTCTGGTATGAGTACTTTATCAAATACGAGTGAATAAAGATCGTTCTACAGTTAGTTCAGTACTTTATATTAATATTTCCGACACTTGTACCATTTATTTTTTTTAAATAACATCATTGTGAACAATAACGAATAACAGAGAGGCGAATTGACTATCTAAAGTTAATTATTGTACATCGACCGTGCATATTTCAATATTTCATTTTTAACCGATTTATTTTCTCTTACCTTATTTCCATCTACAATAGTCGTATATGTTCAAATAATTCTGAAAATGTTTTATCTTATTTTAAAATGTGAAGGATTTTTATTGGTTTTTAATGAATTAAATTTAATAATGTTAAACTATTTTCAAATTTTTTATCAATGACATCGTATTTGAATAACAGCATTAATCAATAAATGGCGTCGGCTCATTAATGCCTTCTGTTGTAATTAAAAGTTAAATTTAAATGTTTTACTTTGGTGAATGCACAGGTGATTAGTCCAGATGATAATAAGCCTGTTGGTTATCATTAATAATCGTTCTTTAACGCATTCCCTCAGTATCTGAAATAATAATTTATTGTGAAATAACATTAATAGCTTCGTTATTAAACTTGGAAAAAGGGGGATGAATAATAGATGATAATACTGTTAATTTCATTTGTTTATTATTGATATATGCGATAAATTTACTAAGTTCTTCAATGTAATGAGCATTTGTCGAATATATCTTGCTGATATTGGTAATAATGATATGTTGTGTATAGTACTTATTACTGTTCATTATTGTTACTAACAAGTAAATAAATCAAAGAAGCAGTTGGGAGAAAATTTTTATGCTAAATATAAATCGAATTCATCACTCCTTTCACCGGAATTCCATAGCATTCAGTTCTTGTGTTAATTGTTTTATGTTTGAAGTAGAAAGTAAACCAATTTTCAGTTCTCAAACAATCAATTTTCAGCATACGTGTAATAGCCTTCTCCAAGAAGTACACGAGCAGACATTGGATTATCTTTATGCGAATAATCTCACCAAAAAAAAATTACTCAAGATTTTCATTGATTTTATCTGAATCATAACTTGTTGGCAAGACGTTAAGGAACAATTGCATATTTTGACTGAATGAACAAAGTTACTTGACATTTCATTCACCTTTATGCTCTCCTATTCACCTCACTATAATCATCAAAATCGTGAATGTTCATGTAATCAATATCACCTCTTAATACTAATGTTTGATACTGTAGCTCACAGAACTGTGCAGTGAGAGGTAGGAAGAGGCTTATACTGAGTTTCATACACTATAGATGTGTAGTATGTAAACGAATATTTTTCCAAAGTTTGGAACTCCGGAACATTGCAGAAACTGCTTCTATTGATCACATGTCTACACGATGAATCGGACACTTTAAAAAACTGTCTATGGGAGCTTGTTTCTCAATTTTTGCGTTAACACTGGCTTCCAAAAGTGCTCATTCATCGTCCAAAGAAGTCCTCTGCGGCGCTTTCTCTTTTATAGTGTACGGAAACTTAGTCTAAAAAAGAAATTCGTTACTCTGACACTATAAATCCCACATCCCAAAATCCCAAGGATCTGTTTTGGTTGTTTTTAATATCACTTTTGCTACTGGCTGACTGGCTAGTAAATCGACATTAGATACAGTAACATTTTACTCAAATTCCAATTTTGTCAGGAATAAGTCACCTGCACGAAAGAATCCGAAAAATGTTTGCCGCTTCTAATAAATGCAAGGAGAAAATACTCTACTTCTTAACCGCTGACAGATTCGTCTTAATATTTCAAATGTGATAAGTCACCACTGTTTAGACTGTTTTGTTTGCAAACGTTTCGTAGTCTTGACTAATAATCTAATTCACTCTATCGGTGCTCCCAGTTCATTGAGAAAGGGTCTGTAAAACCACCTAAAGTTTGGAAATGTCTAATGGCTGCTAGGTATGATTTTATCATACACCAGTGAACTTTTCGAACATGACTATATGCAATAAAGTGTTCCAGAATTTAACAAATAAGTTATAACATGAACTGTACGTATCATGTGTTGATTTCACTGCAGAGTTTATCAACAACTCGTTTAAAATTTTGTCTATATATTCGATGGGAACATTAACGCTACTAGTGTTAGTACTTGACAAGGATGAATGTTGGTAAATGGGATCAACTGGCGGAATTTCGTAACTGCAAATGTGAAAGACAATCTGCTATACTATTATCTATGATTGACAAGAACTCTGCCGTCATTACAAAACTATTTTCAGCAGCTATTTATGTCAATTTCCTAATGAATCTCATTATTAAACCACATTTAGTTCGCCCTTTATTAATTATTCTAACAGCTGCCTGATGGTCGCAGAATAAATGAATACGTTTTCCTGTAAGTTTAAATAAGAAGGATGTGAAAGAACGTTCCACTGCAACTGCTCTGGTAGCAAAATTCATATGACCAAGAGGTGACAGCATTTCTCGTTTGCACACATCTTTCTATCTAAGAACGGTTTAACCGTTCAAACATCATTTGTGGCAATTTTTCAACCATTAACAATGTATTTAGTGTAAATCTAAGGGATTCCAATTCATGAAGCGGTCCCGTTATCTGTTTTAAAGACGGAGGGATACCTAATCTTTTGAAAATCAAGGTTAATATAAGGTTATATAATAATAGCCGTCGTTCTATCCGCATCTGCACCTAGTGGATCCACAGCAAAGAAATCATCCAATAAATGAAGCAGATTCACTGTGCCATGGTTGTTAAGGCAAATCCAGACAACAGCCTCTGTCAATAAATCTTTGGCGTCGAACGGAAGTCGAGCATAAAAAGTAGTTTTTTCTGAAACAGTGTACTCCGTAATGTTTTCACAATGAGAGATGCAATGGTATAAGTTTAAACGCTTCTCCTGCGACGCATTTGCACATAAAACTACCTTTTCTGTGTGAATGAGTAAGTTAAATAGCGTCGTCAATCATTACATATTTCAAAGAATATCGTTCTCTCTCTGTTAGTTCGCTCCAACTCTTGTTTTCTGGATCATCATGAAACGCACTTAAATCAACTATCAA